TAAGTACTTACGTGTGGGGGATTGCCTGGGATTGATTGTTGTGGATACGATGGTCTCATGACGTGCACACTGTTTTTAATTTAATGTGATGTCGCATATGTGTGTGTGTGTGTGTGTGTGTGTGTGTGTGTGTGTGCGTATGTGTGTGTATGTATATATGTAGTGCTCAACCTCAGCCTTGCCCAAAGCAGGTGGGGCTGTCAAAGCCTCGAAAGATACTGTGTAAGTATACTATACTATATGATTAGAAGCGTGGCATATACTGTTGATTATTACTATGCATGTGAATCGTACACGTTATGTGTATGTAGCACGAGAATGCCGTCGGGCTAACTAGGCTTAGCCTGGCCACATGAATAAGAATGACTTATTTGTCGGAAGTTTGCCAGGTTTTCTATGAGAATATCGATTACCCCCACCACTATACCCCTAGAATCGGGATTTGCAATATTTAGTTGTTTTTGGCGGTGCTTTGGCGAGTTCCAAAAACGACAATTGAATCTCTCAACAAAAAAAAATAGTGTCCATCAGATATCCTGCTTTTCAGATCCATACTTTGAATCTCAATATATACTTCAAATCCTCTAAAATATTTTAAATACCAATATGTGTTTCAAAAAATACTATTTCAAATCCTATATTATAATATCTCGAAAAGTTCTTTGGATTTTTAGTGGTGGGTCACTGCTGGCCCCTGGTGGGGTCTGAGGATTTGGAAAAAAGCAAAATCCCTGCTGAATATTGTACAATAAATAAACACCGCCGTCATTCATATCATATGGGTGAGGGGTGGTAAATATAACAACTAGTAAATATAGTGTGCGAACTTTGCGGTTGAATGTGTATTTACAAGCCCAAGCCCCAAAGCCCAAGAAGGTGTAAATACGTACGGGTGTATGTATTTATGTACCTTTTTACAGTGATGGGCCTGTGGTGCCATGGTGTGCCCTGTGGGCCTGTGGGGGTATTTTAAATGCACAAAGGGGTCGGCCAGTCGGGGACTCGGAGGCGGGGGCCGGGGCCGGGTAGAGGATCTGTTTTTTTAGGGGCGTTGTGAGAATCATGACTCATTGATGCATCATGAAACCACTCTGAAATCATTATTGTCTTCTTTGCCTCTTTTGGGACTTTGGGTTGAGAGTTCAGGGTTTCAGATTGCTCCTGAGCTCCTCCGTTTTTGACTCGCGTGAATATAAGTGAATAAATGCAGCAGATCGACAGCAGATACATGCTCCCTGCAATTAATACCTATGCAGACGAAGAGGCTATATAACAATAACTATCTGAACCGTAGTTGGAAGCACACGCGTACACGGAGATTGGTGGCTTGTATACCTGATTAACTGATGTGTGGTTTATTCTAGTATATATCTTGACTTTTGTAAACTTGGATCGAGCTCCTTCACCATGTGTATCATATGTAGCATATGCACGGTGGAAGTTTTTTCGACGAAAAGCGGTCCGCTTTGTGTCTATTAAAAATATCTGTCGTAGATACATTGACCGTGATTGTTTGTAGGAACGCAATAAAACTTCACTACAAAGCACTTTTTCAAAACTATAAATACTGGGGTGTGTTTTCAGGTCTCTTGCTAGGGGGGTGCATTTATATCTATTTAAAATTTCTTGCGAGCACATACTATATTGGTATCAGTTCGCCATTTTCGGCTATGTACATCTACACGATACACGATGTTCTTCCATCATGTATTTACACGGTGTAGAATTTTTTGTGCTTCAGTTGTCGAGGGTGCACCGCCAAGTATGCAGAACCAATTACTCTAGACGCACTGAAAGCAAGCCCATATAAAACCCCGCTAACATCGTCCTCCGCCACGACAATTAGGACTGCATAAAACGTTGAACTTATTCTTACTACTTCGGAAATCTATAATTGCGGACTGCAAAATCTAGGTAAGGTACCATAACTGCAGGTCAATACATATATTTACATCTTGGGAAGGTAGCATGTATGTATGTGTGTATATGTCTATATTTATATATATTTATACATATATATATATATGTGTGTGTGTGTGTGTGTGTGTGTGTGTTTATTCACACAGATACACTCACACAGAGAGTGCGCACACACAAAACTCACACACAATATATGTATATATA